GAAAAAACTCAATGAAACACTTATCTCTAACAAGTGTTTATGGTTGGCTGAATAAGTTTTCAGTTTCTCCCACAGCTTTTCTTCTTAAATCTTGACCCTAGTTCTCCAAACTTGTCTCTTGTAATCCACGTCAGTGTTTTCCAATCTTAAAACCATACTCGACCGTTTTACCTCAAGCGGAATTTGTCGTTTCATTCGTCGCAAAGTTGATTTGACATCAGCAAACCGTGACTGAATGACTCAAAATTACCTTGAAGTCACTTGTAAATCCTTTGGGCTGCGATTCATCGACTGCTTGATCATTCCGTCGGTGATGCTACGCTAAATTTGTCATGAACATCTATACGCCCGTCAATTACTTATGTTACGTCACAATTACGAAGTAACTAATTACTTCACTGTCATTGTACAGTTCAGACTGGTTGACAATAAACTCACTCAGTCTGATCAAATATCAGCGAAATATCTCTGGAAAAATTCAAACAAACCACGAATAGGTAGTTTTTTAAAAAGGCAAGAAGGGCATTAATTTTTGCTTTCAAGTTTGGCTGAGGTTTGACTTTCCTCCATCAGGTGATCCTTGAAATAAGTCGTGATATGGCAAGGCCTCTCCGTATTCCATGTACTGAACCAGCGGTGTGTCCGTCAGATGAGAAACTTTACGTAATTCACGTTATCATTGAGCCTGGGGAAGATGACCAGGAATGTCGGCTACTCCAACAAGAAGCGGAACAATTGAAGAACTGTTTAATGATTGATCAGCTTCTCCCCGAAGGGAATAGGCAAGGAACAGATGGAAAGAAAACTGTATGGAAGAAGCTCTTGATGCTCGAGTTTTCGTCTTATTGTAAGGACAAAATTGGCGAAATATTAGCCAGGAATGTCGAGTACAACGGTTCACAGTACTGCTTTCTAGGATTTTCAAAGTCACAGTTAAAAAAAAAGAAATGCTTTCTCATCGCCGAAAACGACATGCAAATCTATGAAAGAAGAGCAAAGTTTGGCAACTTAAGCAAGGGTGTCTCGTTTGCCGAGCGCGTAGCTAAGGTTCAACATATGTTTGAACCCTACGAATTAAGTTTGGAATTAGCTGCGGGCGAGGTTATCTTCGAAACCGAAGACGGGAATCCTGAAGAAAGTGGTTTTATGGCGCCTGAACTTGCCAAAAAAATCAATGAAATAGCAGCACTCAATCTTGTTAATGTTCCCAGTGTTGTTGAAGTTATTTGTCCAGGATTTGCAGGTAAACTTCTATTGTCTGACGAAATTCTTGCCAGAACGACCGGTGACGAGCATTCCCACTTAAAGGCCCTTTTCAAAACTTCTGCAATAACTAAGGACCACGGCAACGCACTCACACTGTGTATTGTTGACTATTCCAAACCATTTGAGGTTGGCTACCTGGATATTTTCACTGTGATGCTTCTGCATTGCCAAGGTGTAGAAAGTCGATATCTACTGGAACTTCAAAGAGAACATCATAACCTTCTAAAAACACTGGAAACCAATTTGACCTCTGCGAAGTACTTCCTTCGTGTGAAAGGAAGAAAGGAACTTTTAGCCCAAATAGACAACGGAATGACGCTTGAAGCACGGGGAAAGATTTCCGAAATAAAGGAGGAGGAAATTAGAAAAATGCAAGAGTGCAAAGATAGCCCGGAAGAGATGAAAATCCTTGTGAGTGAGTCGCGCGAAGTTTTGGGAGTTGTCGATCCAGATAATCAGCTTCAACCCAACGAGTGCTTCTTTGCTCCTAACTTGGATGGTATGCTGTCCAATGAAAAGGAACGTTTTGAATCGGCAAAACAGGTTCTTGTAATTCCACAACCGTGCTACTCTGTGTCAGATATCCAAAGGTTCAATCTTTGTCGCCGAATTGAAGCCTACGAGAAATTGAAAGACTGCATTATTTTGCCGTCGCAAACCGAAAAGCGATTTGTCTCCAGAAAGTACATTGTTTGCTGGGATAGTGGTCTCGTGTTTCAATTCTGTTCATTCCCCTGGAAATTTTTCAAGATTCCGAATCAAGTTTCAAAGTTTTTCCTCGGCGCCTTTCAGTGTTCGAATGTAAAATTGAGTGGTTCCGAATACACAGAAGTCATGGTCGGTGTAGAAGCTGGAACAAGTGAAGGAATAACGCCGCCCATGACTGCTCTTGAGCCGCACGAAGATGCATCGTTTCAGAAGGAGCTGAAGAAGCATTTCGCTGCATTCAAAAGCAGTGATGACTTGATTTTAAGAGCAAAGTCACTTTTCAAAAAGTTTGCACTTCTCGAAGGATCGACGTCATGTTCAGTTTGTAAGCAACTCGGAACGTATTTATCTCCGAGTTTTGACTGGAATGCTAATAGAGAGAAGATCGACAGACATTTGGAAGATCTCGAAAAGAAATGCGAGAACCTGCATTCCCAGATGGAGAAAAGCAAAGAATCTGCAGAGGAAGCATCTACTCAAGATCTGAAAGGACTACGTACAGCCATGATTAAAAATTTGAATGATTTTATTACGGTCACAACCGGAGGGCAGCGTTAAAACGCTGTTTCTTTTCAAACCGTTTAAGTAAGACTCCGTTTTTATCGATAAAAATGTTGTGACAAACCCCATGAGAAGTTTTCGAATATTTTTTAAAGATGCTGCATGCCTGCATAAGCTGCTGCTCTTGTAATAGTCGTTAAGGAAGGCGCTGTAAGAACCATCATGCTTTCCTTTCTAATCCTTGACGAAAGCCAGTTTATTGTAGAGGCCTGCAAATGGAATAGAAATGCCTGTTGCTACCAAATTTCCCGATCAGTAAGTACACATTACACAGCAGGACATTTTTTTTTAGGAATATCTAGAATCTATATTCTGTTGAGGTCACAAGCCAGTCAAACTCATCATCGATATCAAAGAAGTAGTAGTACCTACACAATGAGCGCGCATGAATCTCCTTTCCTACAGAATGCAAGTGAACATTTTTAATTCAAGACTACAGACGTTGTTATGGTAATTATGAGTGTAGAAATTAGGCCTCTAGAGAAACAAGTCTGACAATAGCTTTTGGGAGTATGCATTTCGCTCATTTTTGAAGTGTATCAACTAACCCTTAAGTTAAGTTTAAGTATTGAAAAGTTTGTGAAGATGCTCGTACCAAAGTACTTCGTATTTTTTCTGTACTTTACTTTTTCCTTCTCTCTATAGCGTTATTGCGAAGGCTTGAATGAAGTCATTATGTCAGCTTTCATATCATATCGCAATAAAATTTTGCAATAGCTATATTTTGCGGGTTAATGATTTTGCCCATTTTTTTGCGGGAAGAAATCTTTTTTGATTTTCGATCTCTTTGCGTCTTTTTGTTGTTGTTGTTTATTGTCCAAGAAGTAGAAAATTGAGAATGAAGGACGGGTGATCTCAATTTTCAAGCTCAAACGCTTTCTGTGACAAAATACTGTTATAACATAGCTAGCAGAGCCGCGCAATCAAATTCATTATACGTAAGCGTGCTCAAAATCCCGATAGTGCACGCTGATAGCGTGAGCAAATGGCTTCGCCAGAAATTTTTTTTTTCGCGCGAGCGGCCATTGTTAGCGCGGGGAAAAATAATATATTTCGCGACAATAATGGATACAAACAGAGATTCGGCCGACCAGTCCCAAAACGAAGACAATTTTCCGACCTTTCCCCTTGGGTTAGAGTTCTTAAATGAGGCTGAAAAAGAGAAAAACAACGGAAAGGAGACTCGGCATCAGCGCCGTCACGATTCATGATTACCGCGAACAATCACTTCTGATATTGTTGTCCGTTTTTCGCGTCGGATTTGATGCATAATTCCACCGGCTACGTTATAAAACAATTGGTTCATGCTTTTAGCTGTGCACTATCGAGTTATGGAGCGCGTGGGAAGTTTGGAGAGTACGAAAGAAGCGTAAGAGTTGCCCGAGGCAATAGCCGAGGGCAACTCTAGCTTCTTGAGCCAATTGTTAATTAGAGGTATGCAGGCATAAATTACCGGGCTCTTGATAGAAGCGGCGAATTTAAGCAGTTGCAATTGAACTTATCACAATGAGCGCGCCTCTACTAATTATATAACAATATGCGCGTTCGAGGTGTAGTCAGTGATTTCGCGGTCTTTGAACATGTAACTGCTCAGTTTATGTTGAAATATTAAAATAAGCTTTTTTCAACCTAAAATTATCGTTTCAATTTCAGTATTAGAGTGATTTCAGAGAAATATTTTAAACGAGTCAAGTAACTGTCATACCTTGTTGCCTAAAAGTAAACAGAAACAACAACATAATCAAACAAAAAGCCTGCCCTTATATACTTCCCTTCCATACCGAGTTTTTTGAGAGAGGAATCAGTTTATTAGACTGAAGATAGCAAATGTTTAGAGTTGTATTTTACGTCTAATTTTTTTTTTCCGATGGAGAGGGGGGTGGGGGGGGGGGGGAGGGGGAAACTTCTTTTAGCGGATAGTTCATGGACAGTCAACTAAATCCACCAAAATAACACAATGCTGAAATTTCCCGCAACAAGGAATCTCCTAACACCGAGAATCTCGATAGTCCATTAAACTGGCCTTTATCTAGCCCAAGCATCCAGAATCGTTTCCTTTAACGGCAGATTCCATTGCGAGAAGGCCGGGCTGAGGGCATGAGATGAAGTATTAATCGGAGACGCCAGTGCTTGTGACAAACCGATTTCCTTCCCCAAGATGGGGAAGGAATCAAAAACTTTCTTCGATTATCTACCATGGAGATTGATGACTGACAACTGTCTTTTTAAGTCGTCACAACGAAGTTTTGCTTATCTTTGGAAGGAATCGCTTAATCATGCAAATCGTAGTGAAGTTGAAGTGAAATCAGTTGAATATGCGAATGTGCAATATTGGACATTCCCTGAAGATAATGAATTATAGTATATACACACCACAGAAGCAGTTAAACACTTTTAACAAGTTCTGTTCCTTTTCATAATGATAAAGTTTGGACAATTTAAGGAGTAATATTTTCGTAATCGAACTATGAAATCTGGGATGCGACAAACGTAGCGCTTTTTGCTTTCATCTTATTCCAGACATCATCGCCAGGTAAAAATGGTGGTTTCTTCCATTGCAGAGAGATTAACAAACGATCGAACGTATCAGGACCGCGAGATGAAGAAGGGAGAGGGGTTGATCGCGAACGGTTGGTGAGTCCCTGCATCTCTATCTCGTACGCTTCTTCAAGCTGCCTCAATTGTTTTTTAACTTGATCGTAACAATCGCTCCAGCCAAAGTCTCTGAGAAGAGTCTCCTTGAGCAATTCGCATTCGGTACACGTCGAACCGAATAACGACGCGTACTTAACAAATAGCTCTGAAGCTTTTTGGCGCAAGTTCTCGTATTCTCTAAAATGACTAAAATGTTTCACGAGCGCTTGGTGTGCTTCGTGCTGCTTTTTCCTCGCTTCCGTGTCACTAACAGGCTTCCTCTTCAAACACACGAGGCTGTTGGCGACTTCTGACAATTTTCGAACTATTTTAGAGGATGTACTGGTTATGTGCCCCATGTAAGGACTGCTAACAAAGAGCGGTATGAGCCCCTGATCCCAGCTCACGAAGTACTTGTCACCGCCTACGCGTCCCCCAGCGCATTCATTGGCATGCGGTCGCGCCCCCCTTGTGGGAAACACGATACAATCGTACAGATCTTTGTAAGCTTCCTTTCCCTGAGTAATCTTCAAAACACGAACATCTCCCGCATGATAAGAGGGCCTTCGTATTACAAGAACAAACTCAGAAAATGAGAAGCCATTTTGCTCCGCTTCGTGGAGCGTCGGTTGGAAGAAACATTCGCCATGCTTCAGCTGACCGTACGGATCGCTCACCCCATAGACCACGCGAGAGTCTGGAATCAAAATTCTAAAATCTTGGACTTCATCACTTGTAGCACTGGGATCCTCCACCAAAGTGTCTGTCGTTGTAACATCACACAGAGGTCCACCCATCTCAGGTACTTTGCAGTTTTTCTCTTGTAACTGATAATTATCGCCTTGCTCTTCGTTTTCGCTGACTATTTTACAGTGTTTCATGTTTTCAATTTCTTTTATCTTCAGATTTTGCAACTCTCGCACAACACTGTGCGATAGTCCTTCTTGCTCAAGGGTTTGTAGCAACTCGTCCTTTCCCGTTATACGCAAGAAGTAACCGGCGTATGTCTTGTCTTCCAACCTCTCTAGCAAATCATGATAGTTTCCCTGAAGTGCCTCCAGATATTCATGTGAGACACCGCCTTCGGCCAACAGCATCATCGTTAGTGTGTCCAAATAGCCCAGTGAGTACGGCTGCGAGAAACCGACGATTCCAATCGTGTTCCAATCACTCATAACATTTTGATGGGAGGAAAAGTCCAACATGGAATTTCTAAAGAGCGCTTTTACCTTGAGATTTGGCATATCGTTGAAACGAACCAGTGTCCCTCTAAAACCTTTGAATTTAACCTCAATTACGCTAGGTGCGCATGGAAGGTTGCACAGGTTCTGCACATCCTGAGAGAGTGTACACGACATAAGACCACACCCATCCGTGAACACATATGTACCCAATATGCTTGTTACGTCATCGATGACGTCGTATTCCCCTGGTTTTAGTTCCAAACTACGCTGGAAAGGTGAGAAGAGGAGGGATATCTTTTGAGATCGTTTTGCCACCGGGAAGATGTCATTGAAGTCTTCGAATTTTTCCAGCAAACTGTGCAAGTCAGTCAGCGAAGCATTCATCACGTAGCAAGTGCTGTGTCTAAGCTGGGAGCTCGATTGTCCCAAGTAATAATACTGTGAACCGTTGCACTCAATTCCCTTCTTAAGAGTCTCGATTATGAAGTTTTTGTCGTTTGAAGAAAAGGTGACCACCATCAGCTGCTCGAGAACTTCAAGACCGCGTGTGCTCACTAAATAGTGCACTAAAAGGGAATTTTCGACCTTCTTGTATGAAGCAAAACATGGTTTCGTTTCTGTTACTTCTACATGCTTGACGTAGAGAGATGTTCCCTCAGCTTGATTTTGAGACAGTTGCGGACTTGCACCATCAGCGAGGGAAACAAAAAAAGGGAACCCCATGATTTGTTTGTTGCTCTACACGGTTTTGTTTTCAAACACCTGTAAAAATATGATAAAATTTAAGTGATACAATCAGTACTTCTGAAGTATGCATCAGGCTCTGTGCCATAAAGATTGAAGCGACATCGTTTTGTCATTAAATTTATGCAATCAAAGTAAATTCATTTGAGAAAGTTTTCTCAATCCTATAATGATGATGAAAAAAGTAGTGCTAACGACGACAACAATGATGATGAGCTTATATGGCAGGACAATGATCACATTGGTTCAGATGTTATTTACTAAAATTGGTTTTTACAAAGAAATACTTGTAAGAAAGATCTCAGATATATATTACAATGTAAACAAATCCTCATGAACAGCAAGGATATCAACTTTACTTCAAAGGTGTTAATCGAATTTCAGTCATACTGAATATTTTCTCCATCGGCAGCTGCCAATGGTAGCAGGTAGATAAACCACGAAGATTAATTATAAATAAAATAAAGGAGAGGCCGAGTTTCCAGAGGCAATATTAAAGGAAATGCGTAAGCTGAATGTTAGTATTTCATTGCCTATTTTCTCCATGTTAGAATGAAAACTATATTAACCCCTCTACAACGTAAAATCTCTAGTCGTTGAAACTTGGTTTTACGTGGTAAGCAACTTCATGTTAGTGACATTCACACTTACCTTGAAATAAATCCCTGCAAAGGCACACACCTATAAAGCTTTTGTTTCTTAGAGATTGGCAGATTTTGCTCACATTATTTCATGGTAAAAAATTTGAGGAAACAGTTTCGGCAACTGTACACACAAGTGCTTTCTTTGAATTCGTAGCGAACTAAAATTGGAAGTAGTTAAGGGTATATAAAACAGTTTCAGTCTGTCGTGTGAGCTTGGTCTTGGACAAAAGCTTGATGTGTTCAACTGCTTTCAGAGTGAAGCTTTCTCCTTGATTTGAGGAACACTTTTTGACTCTCTGTGTTATGGCTTTCTGCCTTAAATATATTCGAGATAATTTCCAATAAACATGTCGATACAGCATTTGAATTTTAATAAGTCCCTTCAACAGGTATGCAATTGTAGATAATATGTTTGTTTTGATTTAGATCAGTTTGCATCCATTAATATTTAAGTGCACACAAAATCTCGCATTCGTTTATGACAAAAACATTAATTCAGCTTTTTCTAACATAGCCATTGGAAACAGTTCATACGACATGCACAGCTGGTACTCGGTAATCCTATGCACTTTGTTTATAAAATTTTCTACTGTACTTTTTGCATTTCCTAGAAATTCGCAGCCAGCTTTCACGACTCAGCCATCTCAGTTGTGTAAACCTCTTTTCCAGGATCCTCTTTCGAGAACCGTGAGAACGAGGCTAGAGTGGCCTAATACTTTGGCTTAAGTCCTTTAAGATTCTCCACTTCCGGTACCTTTCCACTTCCAGCTAAATTAAAACAACAGCATATGACAAGATCACGAAAAGTTACCATGAAGGATTCGTTGAAATTGTTAAAGAAAGTCATGTTTGTGAATGCTTCATGCTTCTTCGTAAACAATGTTTTTTTACCATGTCATTTTCATTGTTTTGGAAACTGAAAGGCTTTTGTTTTTAGAATCATATGCTTTGAATAGAAGGTCTATTTCAGTTTTTCTCAGAACGGTTTAAGGTCAAGTAGGTCAAATAGAACCTTGAGGAACTGAATAACAACAGTATATGATTCGTATTAACTGAGGCAGCTCAGGTTACACGTAGAATTAATCAGTTCCAAAGTTGTTGACGAATATTCCTGTTAAAGCTGTTTTCTGGCTTAGGAGGCGGTTAAGTTGGTGTTTCACAAACGAAAAACGACTCACGGAAATTGGAAATCGTGATGTTTCTGGCTTATCTTTTAATCCGGGTTTTGTTCGTGTTTGCAGTGACGCAGTTTGTCAGTAAGTGGGTTCTCGTTAGTGCGCTAGTTTGGCAGATACATTTGTTGCATTTAAGTTACGTGAAATGGATTGAGAGATGTTGCGTGCAGTACATTCAGACACCCCCTTAATGACGGGGTAACGACTGAAAAGCCAGTAGACTGTGCTAACGTCACATGACAATGACTGTTGCTCGTGACATGGACAAAGAGTCTTTGTTCATGGAATGAAAACACATTTTTTTTTTTTTACTTTGCAGGTTTCTGAAACTAAATCTAGGTTCACAGTTTCTTTTGTGTGTGTGTATATTCACCCATGTGTTTATTTTTCGATTTTTGAAATTCTGCACATTAAGCTCTCAATCTTGTTACGGTTGTCTCCAAATATTTCGTGGAACGTGTACAGTCTGTTATTTTTTCGTTTGTTAACAATGCATTTCCTACACTTTTGTCTACAAATGAACTATTTGAATTTATGACTAATTTACGAGTTGTTTTGATGATATCTGAAGGAAGTAGAGTACGTGTTAGTTTTGGATCGGACTTTTAACATGCTGGTATTCTTTTAGACACGAACAAAAGAAGTTAATTTCATGCAAAGGACAAAGTCCTACTCTTTACTTTAGACTTAACATTAACATATAAAGATTAAGGTTGATCATGAAGTTGACTGTAGGTTATTTGCATCTCTTCAGTGTCTCTTGAGGCATAACTTAATTTATTCAAAGCCACTAACCAACGGATGAAATCAGCCCTTATTCGTTGATTTTATCCTTACAAGTTTGGTGAAGAGATTAATCAAAGTGCTCTGTGAGCAAACTCGTGAATTGACAGATGATTATTTGGATTATGTTTAATGTTATCTGGTTTAGGAAATTTTGTGGTTGATTGTCATATTTAGAGTACGAGCAGTAGTTCAGTGTTTGCTAATGTAGCAAAGAAACAAAGTAACGTTGGGATAAGAAGGCATTACAATTGAAATGATCATGTTATTGCATTTGACAAGGGTGGATGATGTAATGTGTTTTTAACGTATATCATTTCTGTTCCTGGTTCAAAAGAAAAGGTTGGAAGTAAATGTGGGTGAAAAGTGAAATTTACTGTCTATCACTTGTAAATATTAGAAAATCAGGGCAATACTGTCTTAATGAAAACATTAACGATTCCCTCTTTATGAAATGAGACAAACGGGAACGAGTTTTAAGTGATATACCTAGGCCAAGACTGCCACTGTCATTTTGGATCTCCGCCTGGGTAGATTTTAGTCACGTGCTAGGCAACGTACAATCAATAACAAGATAGAATTTCATTTCAGGCCTATTTATCAATTTTGTGGTGTATAACTTTCGAATTTTAGTACGTAATATGTATTTTGAATCTTCAAATTGTCTTGAAACTTAAAAGAAAATTGTTCTTTAAAAATTCACTGAACTGTAGCTAAAATTGTTTGTTTAGGTGTTATTTGATTTTCGTGTTAACTTGTAATTTCGTTAGTCGCCGGCATCTTCTGTTGCTTCACACAGGAAAAACACACGATACGAAACGTAATGATCGATTTTGTCCTCAATCTCACGCCGTAACAGAAAAAGCTTTTGAACATCTGTAAACTCCGAGCGCTTCGCAGTAAGTAACATTTTCAATGAATCTTCGGATTGTTTTCAAGTGCAAGGATTGTAAATTACAATTTTATGAAAAACGAAGATTGTTCTGTTATTTCAGTGTGAATCCTTGCATGCCTGCCAGTCGCTGGCGCCGCTTGTTGAAACTAAAACGAAAAAAAAACTCTTTTAAGATTATCATTGGCTTCTTTGTCACCCCACCACTATTCTTAGCAACAAAGGTTGCCATTTCGTTTGTTTATTGCTCGCCAAAAACTATCAAATGCACTCAAAAGCCTAAAATCGAAAAAAAGTTTACAGGAATCGACCAATCGAGCGAGCGAGCGAGCGAGTGGTATTCCCCACATCGTATCTACAACTCGCTCTTGCGCATGCGCGCAATTCACGAGTTAAAAAGGACCTGATACTCAGCCTGCTATGTTCCCTAGCTAACCATTGCAGAAACGTAGCTAGTATTTCAGAAGTATTCCTTATATTGAAACTATGCACAATCACTTTTAGGCTCAGCAAACGCCCGAAATCCAAATAGATGCGACTCTTCACTGCAACAAAGTAACAACAAAGTTATTGTGAGCTGGTTTATCAACATCAGGGCTTTTACCCCTGATCCTTATACAGATATATGTTTTGGAAAGGCCTCTAAAGGAAACCCCTTTTCGATCTTGTGCTGGAACAAAGCTGCAAACTCCTTTACGTTTTCTAACCACAGTGATACGTTGTCGTCCTGTGACTGGTGTAAGACCTTCGTTACAAATCCGCAAGCACTAGAGCAGCCTGATGGTTCTGTCCGGGTGTCCGTGGAGGTGGCCCTGGAAGGAAATTTTGGCCAGTTGGTATATTGGTATATAGTTTGGGACGGCGAACACAACAGGTTAATCAATGAAATGCTCTTCTGCATCTATAGAGTAGGTATGATGTCATTGAAAAATTGATTCCGTGTTGCGGTGTGCTGTTCTGTAACACATCACAGATCACGTTAAAATGTGGTACTGCGCACTTTGTTGTATGTTATGGTATAATATTGAATGGGGAAGGAGGGTATTGTGGCGAAATGTATTTCATTTTAGATTTCGTTTCCATTATTCAGCCAATACCCCATTAAAAATGACAACGAGGGTGTAAGGTGTCAACTATGCTTGCCGCAGATTGCAGGCTGTTCTCATCTTCTGACTCATCAATCTTTAACCTTTGGTTATTTGGTTGTTTATTCCACAGAAAGCTTTAACTGTGGCAAGAAACCACCTCTTCCTAGGATAGTTCACGGAACAAACACCATCCCAGGGGAGTGGCCTTGGCAGGTGTCTCTAAAAAATAAGGGACACTTTTGCGGTGGCTCAGTAATCAGCCCGCGATGGATCGTGACAGCGGCTCACTGCTTTGACGGAGAGGATCCAAAAAATGTCAGCATTGTTGCAGGTGAGACTAATCTCCTTCCAGGTTTTAGAGTAGTTTTCCCCTGACTAAGTAATGCAGGATTGGGTCGGTTTTTCTTTAGTTCTTTCTATGATTGATCTACAAAAATCGAGCCACCTTCTCGACCAATTAGATGCAAAACTGCTCCAGACAGTTTGCTTGCTTTAACCTTTACACCGTAACAACGGTATGCATGCACATCTTCTATACTTTCCTTTATACATTTCCTAAAGAGCTGTCAAGGAGAATTTCTTTAACAATCAAGAGCTTTTATAGTTGATGATTATCTTCTGTATTCTTGTGATCTCAATGCTTGATTCAGGGGTGATATTGTATGGAGAAATTTAATGCTAGTCACTTTTAGTGGTTAATTATGAGGCTAAAGTTAAATTGAGTTACCATTGGCTCCTTGTGCCGTCAAACATCCTTCTGATTGGCTATTGTGATTTCCGTTACTTTTGATTTTGGGTTTACATACGTTTTACTGTTGCCGTCACGGATAGCTGAAATGAATCTATTTACGATGTAGGCAATTACCTAAACAAGCCCGTTTGACATGTTTTCTGCTGCTTCCAATTGAAAACAGGTAAATATCATATTTCAAGAAGAAACGGTTTTGAGCAAGAACTTCGCATCAAAAGGCTTTTCAAACATCCTCGATATAACGTGACCTGTAAGCTCAACTACGATGTGGCACTACTGGAGCTAAACGGAACCCTAAAGCTTAACAACAGAGTGGGGTCTGTGTGTCTTCCCGACGCTGAATTTGATCCTGGCACCATCTGCTACATCACTGGGTGGGGAAAAACATCGGAATATAGTGTTAACAGAGGGGCCAAGGTACTTCAACCATTGACCATTAACAATAATCAATACATGAATTTCAGTATAGACGGGTATCCAGACAGGTGACAAAAATTGAGGAAACTATCGGCCAGGGTATGTTTTTGGTCTTAGTCATTAAATATTTTGCTCGCACGCGATTGGTCTAAACGCATCACGTGACCGAATATGCCCCAGCTAAAACTGGGGAATATCCATTTGGTGCGAAAATATGCTCGTATATATCGAAATGCAGATCTTGGCTTAGAGAGAATTAAAAAAATTGATTCATATCATTTGAACCATTTCCAAAAGAGGACGATGACTGTCGCTTTAGCGAGAATGCGAACACAGCACGAGTGCTTTGATCATGAACTGTGCATTTTTTCTGTTCGGAAGTATTGTGAGTAAGTCACAGCCGATCCAGTTTTAAATAGAGGCTCACTTTCTTCATTCCATCTACCCCTTTCTCAATTCTATTTGTATACAAAGGCGTCAACAAACTTAGGAAAAGTTGGGAAAGGGAAGGGGGGGGAACTGGTGAGGTGCAATGATAGCAGAGAAACCTCACTTTATACAGCACGGCTAAACTGGCCAATCGGCTAACACGAACCGTTCTTAAAACATTCGACTGACAACAACTATTCACCTGACTCTGATGAGGACTTCCGCACAAGCTTTCGAAACATCAGTCATTACTACCAACAACAGAGCTTCTCAGAACAGTTCACCCACGCGGACGATTAGACTACACCATGACATACCTCACTCTCTCCAAACCTCCTTCGAAGATTGTTGGCGTAAATAAAATGAACCGAATCATCGTTTTAAAATATAATATACACGTTTTTCTAATTCTTTAGTACTCTTCCGAATTCTTATTTCGAAATTCTCCTTTTTACCATCGTTCTAACTTACCTTGCAGATTTTGAAAAAGGCTAAAGTTCCTCTCGTGTCGCGTGATATCTGTAAGAGGAGCTACAAGGACTACCGTTATTCAGGCTTCTGCGTCACAAAACGCATGCGCTGTGCAGGCTACGCTAAAGGGGGTGCTGACGCCTGTCAAGGAGATAGCGGAGGACCGCTGGTCTGTCTTAAACACAGGAAGTGGCATCTAATGGGCATCATCAGCTGGGGTGTTGGATGTGGACGAGTGGGACGTTATGGAGTGTACGGTGATGCTTTGAAGCTCAAGCACTGGGTGCAACAAGTGATACAAGATTCGTAAAAATACAAGCCATCAGGGATCAGGTTTTCCTAGTTGCTCCAATAATTAACGTTTCCGTGGATGGCATCGTCTGGTAATTTCAGTCCTATTGTGGATTAGCCATGACCTTGATTATGAGTCACATTCAAATCGGTGGCCTTTGAGTGAAGTTAATTTGAGATTTTAGGCATGTGTGACTAAGAAAGTCTTATCGTTTTAGTTCAGGTGTAGTTGTAGTTTTGCTGAAATGGATTTAATCGACCGAAGAGAAATAGATAAGCTAGCTGTTGCAATCTTTGCATCTTGCAAAGTGTTTTTGGAGTATATAAATGATCCTGAAAAAATAGTTGCTGTAACGTTTCCAGAATTAAGTCTACGATGAGTTTAGATATCACTGACGAAAATTGTTCACACAGAAATCGTTTGAACTCATCTTTAGGAAGAAACACCAAGTTATACCAAGCACAGCGACTTTCTACATGATTGAATTACTCAGTTGTATATAGAACTCGTTTCATTTCTGACCTGTTCAGTTTTGTTTGATTTTTTTTTACCCTGGATACATTTTCAACATAATCAATAATTTTGGGAGTTTTCTAATGATTTTGGTTTTCTTCTCTTCCTCTGTTCTTGTTCAGCGTTTATTAAAGCATACCCCTCCATTGAGAAACGTTTCCAAATTCCCTTGGCCCGGCTCATTTTTTTAGAATCTTGGTGCACTTGTTCCTTGAAGTATATACTCCACTTGTTACATATAATCTTAAAATTTGCTTTCCATTTATGGCAAGTTCGCCACAGCTCAGTGGGTAGAGCGTTGTAGCGCGACAGCGGTCCCAGTCAGGATGGAGATCCTGTTCCGTAGTGGTCCTTTTTCCATTTTATACCAAGCTTATAAATAGTCCGGAATGTATTTTATATTGGTCTTTTCACATTATGTCATTAGCATAGGTGCCAAGTTTACCCTTTTCCTACACTTTAAAGTAAGAAAAGCATACATCGGAACGCTGCCGAATTATGACATAATTTAATAAAACAACAAGGCTTTTTGAGAAAATGTCATATTTTGCCCATATATTTTTTCCTTAAGGATGATGGGGTCTTTTCCCATTTTATACTACGCTTATAAATAGTCTGGAGCGTCTTCGCATACTCGTCCATTAACTTTATTTTATTAGATTGGTCTTCCTTTCACTTATTGGAAAGTTTACCCTTTCCCTACACTATTTAATCGAGGACTTGCATCAGAATACTGCTGAATTGAATATTATAAATCAAACAACTGAGTTTTTGTAGTAATGTCTTTCTTTGGTCAAAGAACTGAGTTTTCCACACAATCTTTGTGCACTTGCTCCTCGCAGTAGGTGCTCCAGTCGTTACATTTATTCTTAAAATTTACTCTCCGTTCATGGCAAGTTCCCCGCAGCTCAGTGGGTAGAGCATTGTACCGCGAAAGCGGTCCCAGTTAGGATGGAGATCCCGGAAGACTTGCCGTTTTTTCATTTTTTGTTTAATTTCTTTTTTTAATTTTCTATTTCGATGATTCGTTTCTTTTCCCTTTTAATACCAAGCTTATAAATGATCTGGAGTGTCTTTGCATACCCATCTTTTAACTTAATTTCATGAGAATTGGTTTCCTTCCACTTATTGGCAATTTTACCTTTTTCCTACGCTTTGATAGTGAACAAAAACGTGCAGCGGAATACTGCTGAATTATGACATAGTTAAAAGCTTTTGAAATAATTTCATTTTTGGGTCAAATCACTTTGTTTTCCGCAGAATCGTAGTGCACTCGTTTCTAGAAGTATGTACTCTACTTGTTACATGTTATTTTAAAATTTACTCTCCATTCATGGCAAGTTCCCCGCAGCTCAGTGGGTAGAGCATTGTACCGCGAAAGCGGTCCCAGTCAGGATGGAGATCCTGTTCCGGGGAACTTGCCGTTTTTTTTAAATTTTTTTACTTTTTTTTTTCAATCATTTGTTACTTTTCTTATTTTATACCAAGCTTACAAATAGGCTGGAGTGTCTTCGTATACTCTTTTCTTATTTTATTAGACAAGGCTTCCTTCTACTTATCGGCAAGTTTACCCTTTTCTACACTATTAAAGTCATGACATGCATCAGAATGCCGCGGAATTTGAGCATTGTTAAATCAAACAACAAAGATTTTGGTGATGTTTTCGTTCTGTAGGTAAGTGGACGTTTTGAGTCAAAGAACTTTTAGTTCAGGGTGTTTTCACATTTGATTTTAGCAGTGTGTAGCCCACTTGTTACGTATAAAATTAGAATTTGTTGTCGCGTGAAGCCTCGTTTTAAAATATGCTATGAATTGAAAACTGTATTTAAAAAACCGACAGATAAAGGGCATCTGCAAAACTCTAACATTCTCTTAAAAAGCGTGCACAAAACATAAACGAACCACACCTAAAATTGTGACGTATTTCCTGTCTGTTGGAGGTACGTTTTTATCCATATTCATGAACAATTTTCATCTTGCACCTCATTACAAACTGTTGGCGGCCACGTTAAGATGTCAGGCGAAGCAGTTCCTCTCCGTTGTGTATCTTTCACAAAAGTTTCAAGAAAAAGCATGGTTACTGCTCTGAACGTCAGGAATTAAGCGAAAGGTGAGTAACTAATTGCACATGGGACTTGTACGCTTAATTTAAGAGGAAACTAGTGGCAATGTACGAAGTTGAAGGACGCCATGTGCATTTGGGATTTCGTCAAGAAACATTTTGACCTTGCCAAACTATTCGGAAAGCAACAAGTAGACTTGGGCAAAAATACTTTCATAACAGAGTTTTCATTTCTATTTCGTTCATGACCTTTAGAGCCAAAACTACGTTAAATATATATTGTCAGTTCAATCACAACTTGACTTCAGAGTCCATAAATCGTTTAATATTCTGGGATAGGACATCACACTTGTGCCATAAAACGTGGCGGGAATAATCAAGGACTTTCTTTCATATTTCCATACGTTTTCTTCTCCAAGCCAATCTAGTGTTGAAAGTCGCATTTAAAATGGATATAACTCGTAAAAGTAATGTCATAATTTTAAGTTCGCTTGCCATGATGCTAAATATCTTTTTAATGTTTCATGCTCAGATATAACTCTCGGCGAAGACAGCAAGCTGAACAAGCAAAAGAAGTAGAATTTATAAGCGAGAAACAATGGATTGTCAAGTCAAGCAATGGGGGAACGTCGTAAAGATAAGAATATTGATTAACTAAATCGCTAAAATATCCGATAAGATGGTGGTTTGAATACCAAGAGAGCATGCAAAATACTGAGTTTACTGTCTAAAATACTGTCTAAACTGCTGATTCATTGAAGAAAACAAGATGTAAAACTTGTGATGGAAGAAATTCTGACAAAGTACAGAAGGAAATTATTGCGAAGTCAAATTGTTTTTGCCTATATTAGACATGAGGCTTTTCGCTAAAATTTTCGTGCATTTGTTGTCATGGTTCCCCCAAAAAATTGCAATTCAACTTCTCATATGTATAACCCACCATTTTAATCGGGTATAAGGCGACATGAGGTCCTCATAGCAAGTGGCACTGTAATCTAAGCTCTTAGTAATTGAGTACGATAGACTGACTTGATGGATCGTCGTTACAGTAATCTGCACTATGTCTTCCGCGGTAAGTTTGATCAATCTTAAGCGACCGAAAATTGGGACACCAAATTTAACTCGCTAGTCTCTCAGTCTGCCAACAGTGCCACTTGATTTAGAAAATAGAATTAGTTAATATTTTCAATCTTAGTTCTCAAAAAGCAATTGTTGGCACACTTTGTTCTCTGTGAGATTTGGTACAGAAGGCGTTGTGGCAAACAAAACCTTATGCGTAAAATTCATTTTCACTCTCACTTTTTTTAAAAACCTTATGTACCCTGATATGATAACTGAGGCTTTGAAAAGTGGCTGATATCTGCGTATTCTTTGTTAAAAGTACGAAAATTTGACATGAACACAACGTGAGAACACCATTACCAGTAATAATCGTTGAATAAAACTTGCACTGAGGGATAGGAAATTTAAATTTGAATTTTACATTATAAGATCTCATATGAGGTGCGTCTCGTGCAATTGACAGTCTCATTTACAAAAAGGAGAAAACTCGCTTTCTTTTTCGATTAATTTAGAATTTCCACTCTGAAAATTTGAACCATCATCAAGAGTTATTTTCCTCGCGTGCACGGAAAATTAATGTAACTCGGTAGTTTTCTATTTCTTTTGCGCTGCAAAAATTCATACAAGACCCAGCAGTTGAATTTTTGAGAACTATAATAATTATGTTAATTTAAGTTCCTAAACAGTGGAAGAAAAGAAGCGAGACATCTTGCTGAAGCAAAAAGAAAAAAGATTTCTAGGTTGGCAAGCAATGAGCATTGCCATTCAAATGGGTGAATTCTCTCGAGATTGAAAAAATTATAGTATGTACGAAATTCTAAATGAGATTAACAGGATTTGGACGAAATGTTGAAAGACATCTTCGAGATGCAAATATACAACATTCCAGTAATTGAATTTTCCTTAGGGAATTTTGATTGTAAATTCTCTCGTTTTAATCAAAAATTGTATTGTGCTTGCACGGATTGTCTTCACCATCTTCCAAATTAAAGCAAAACTGACAACTACAGCTAAATTTAGATAGATGAGTTCTCGGAATTTTAACCCTCCAAAAAACATTCATAATACAGGCGGACGAATTGTATTGTCATTCTACCAAATTAAGGCTATAGAATTTTGACTAGAGACGATGTGTACCAAGAAAAAAGGAAATTTGTAATCGGCAACCAATGATACTGTCTACAGGGAATTTAAATTATTCGAACTCTTCCGGCATTTAAAAAATTCCAATGAACACGGCCGAACTGTCTTGACATTCTACCAAGCTTGGAGCAGAGACATTCCGCCTCTTTACTTCCACTGTGTAGGTATAATCTTAAGGAACATGGCGAGTCACTGTTATTGAAAATCAAAGTTGAGATACACTTTGTTAATCCCAATCAGTCTGTTTGGTGGATTTTGATTATAAATAATGGAAGGAATTTTATTTTTGAATCAACTCCGGTTTTTTTTTGGTGTGTGTTTGGTCAAACTTTCTGGCTTGTCTTGTTACTTAAGAACTAGTATATTAGTCCCCGACTTTTTTCGCCAGTTTCTTCGTGGTGTAAAGATTGAGCAATATACAGAGTTTGCAATGAA